ACTGCCGAGTATTCGCTTTATTCACCGTTTACAGTACTTATATTATTTCCCATCACCCAAACCTTGTCTCCGCTTGCTCCCTGATTATATGACTATCACAACTCTTTCATCATTATTTTTTGTGTAGTGCTAAACTTACCATTTTTTTATTGACGCGCTCCGTTCACGCTGATTTTCTGTGTTTGACATTGGTGGATACAATCATTACAGTAGCCCAGTACCATTAATACTATTCAATCTTCTGTCGATTGATACACTCTACCCGTCGAGAAAAACGACTTTGAAACGACTTGCATGCTCTGCGTTCAACAGTTTTTGGATTGCAGAATACTTGGTCGTAAGTATTAGTACATCGGCCCGGTTTTTTCACGTGGCCGCATCGATTGCAGTTTCCCGCTCACCAAATGCTCACTTTTCTCTGACCTCGTACTGTCTGGAGTACTGCGATGGCACCGATAGTAAGTAAATCTGATATCATTCCTCTATCTTATAAATTCATAACCTATACAGTGAAAAAACCTGAAATACAGCATCCAATCGTCTATCTACGACGCCTTGCCGCATGCCTCCACACAATCACCCTCGGATGCGGCCTCAATTCAGGGTTTTTACTCTCGACCAGAAACTGGCGACGGTATCTCCTGCTGTCCGAAGAGGCGGACACCGATGATGGCACGGTAGATGGTCCACCTATGGGCGCGCCGCGCTGATTCAGTGAGTGCGCTCTCGCCTTTGCAGCCGGCGTCTTCATCCTGTGCTGCCATGTCATCCGTAGGGGCGGCAGGTCCATTCTCGCCCTCTTTGCCCTGTGTCCAAACAGTTAGCTGCGCCTATTTCCAGGGGGTTATCTGCTAAAATTTACCTTCGACCCGAGATCGATTGAGAATTTTCATTCTCAACGATGTCATCATCGGAGTGTGGCCTTTTGCATGCTCGGATGGCCTGGTCCAACGTAGCTTTTTGTTCGGCTAACCCCCTCTCGCATGAGGAAGTTAGCACTGTGGGCCCTGTCAAGGGGTCCACATTGACTCGTATATCATAAGAGTCAGCGACTAATTGCGAATCAGTTCGATTTCATTCTTGCATTGCATGATCTTGCTTACTGGTGGTGTTCGGTGGATAGGTGGGCATTACACCACCGAATCCATTGGGCGAAATTCGTTGAGGGTCTGTTGTGTGACCCTGCCACTGCCGGTGGGCTAGGTGCGCCTCATCTTCGGTGTAGGCGACAAAAAACGGGACGGTATCCACAAGGTATCCAGTGTTTCTACGTTGGAGAATGTAAGTCAAAGCAACATCGCACATTATATGGTCCAGGTTTACCAGTAGCCAGCGGAGCGAATTCACGCGCGAAGTGATCCGTCGCCGATTTTTGCTCCAAGAGACGGTACAATAAATTACCGTACTGGGCATCCAAGAAGGGATACCTGCGGAACACGGAAGCGGCGACCACCGCCAACGCCGACTCCGCTGCAATAGATGGTGCTTCCCATGCGTGAGGTTGGGCGGCAGGCGACCGATGTTGAGGGCCCCATAATGCGGAGCTCAACGATGAAGAGGCGGCCGACGCCTCAGAACCGTGCGCTGTGTTGGTAATGGTATAAACTTTTGTGGTATGCAAGGCAGAGAGTAAGAAAACACTAACGAGTGACCAGCAGGTCTGTCTCGCGTTCAGAACATGCGACGGCTAGATACGTAGCGCAACCATTAGAAGCCACTCCTCCCAGAAGAAAAACAGGTATTTACACGGTGATGCTTGAGCGGGCTCCTCCATCGTGAGCTCCGAGCTCAAGGGAAAGGCGGTGTACGGCGTCACATCCGCTTGCGGCAAGGTCGTTAAATGATGATGAAGACATGGTTTCTCGAGGAAGTTCTTATATGTCGGTTGGATTGCAATGTGTAAATGAGAAAAGGGACTAGGAGATGCGTTACCCGGTCAAGAAACGCGCCTTATATCGTAGAAAGCATCGTGTTACTCTGTAAGCAATGAAAGCGCACCTCCCTTTGATATTTGCGGTGTTTCTCAGTGTCGATGACTCGAAATTTGTGGGAGAGTACTTGATCTGTCCTGTTATGGTTCGAATTCAAGTACAGGGTCAAATTCGATAAAGCACCAATCAGACTTTTGGAAGCCGCATTGACAGCTGGTGTTCACGCTGTGCCTGAGATTGCCGACTAACCTCATGCTCGAATACAGGTATTCTTCGACATTTTTGGTCAATCGGCGCGGACAATGAGGCTGTCGGGATGAATTCGAATTTTAAAGCGCACTCATTTAATAGCACTCAGATAATGAACTTCAAGTTCGAAACTCCCATCGATGCCCGGTTTAGCAAGAACGTGTACATCCACAAGATGCTAATTTGATCTTGTGCATACCATTCATCCAGTTGGTAGATAATTATCATATATTCTGATACGCGATACAAGAGTTTCATAATGAGGCGAGGTGTTGTTGCTGCTCAATGGGACCATCGATTCTCAATGCTCATCAACCGCTCATTCATATCTACGAACATCGCCGCGGCGGCAAAGGGACGAATATTCACAGGTACGTTAACGACATTTCTTGAACGATGACAGTAGCTATCTGTCTTTTGGATGCGGTACAAGTATCACTAAGATAAATCTACAGTATATACTCTCTACGTCTAGATAAAATGCGCACAAACCCAACATAAGCTACAACTAGATAATAACCAACGACAACGACACCAACAGCAACCACACCCACAGCGGAACGCACCCCAAATCCCACAATCCCAAGGCCCACAAAGCCCTCACCGCAAACTCGTATCCAACACCACCCGCACCCCCCTCCCCCTCACCATCGGCAGCTGCTCCCCAAGCACCGTCCTCACCAACTCGCCCGCGGGCCCGCCGCCCCCGTCCTCTGCCGCGCACAAAACACCACCCTCCTCAGGCCGTCGAACGCGCCCCCGCACAGGACCGCGTCGAGCGCGCCCCAGTCGCGCTGGCACGCGACGAGCTCCGCGGGGCGGATGAACGTGCACTCCACGGTGAGGGTGTGGAAGTGCGATCCGGAGGAGATCTGGAGGAGGAGCGGGAGGAGCGCGGCGAAGACGGGGGCGGACTCGGAGTGGAAGTTGACGAGGAAGTGCAGGGACGCGAGGCGCGTGAGGATGCCGATGTTGATCGGGGCGGGCGGGACTGCACGTCCGTATGTCGTTTGACGAGGGAAAATGAAAGAAAGCAATGAGTGCAGAAACCAAACAGAATCCGGAAATGCCACTCAACGTGTCGCAGGCGTGCGCGGGCGCACCGCGGGGCGCCACTCCAGCGCCGTGATGCTGTGCGCGGCCCAGTGCAGCAGGCCCCACAGCTCCAGCGCCACGAGCGTGTCCGCGTGGTCCACCATCAGCACGCGGAGCGTGCGCAGCGTCGGCTGCGCGGACACCGCCAGCACCGTGCGCAGCGCGAGCAGCGTGCCCGCCGCGGGCGTCCGCAGCGTGAGCTCCTCCACCGCGGGCGGCGCGCCCGCCGCGATGCCCAGCGCGACCGCCAGCGGGGCCGCACCTGCCCCCGCGGACGCCGCCTGCACCTGCACGTTGCACAGCTCGAGGCGCGGCACGGCCGCGAGCGCGACGAGCAGGCTCGCGGGGAAGGCGGTGATGTTCGTCAGCGCGAAGCGCTCCAGCCCCGGCCGCTGCGCGAGCTGCACGAGCGCGTTGCGGATGGGCGCGCGGAAGTCCGCCCACGCGGGCACCGCGGCGTTGAAAGTCAGCGCGAAGCCCTGGAGCGCGGGGAGCCCCGCGAGCAGGTCGACGAGGCTCTCCTCCGCGACGAGCCAGCGCCAGTCCTTCGCGCGGTCCCAGATGTACGTGTCGAGCAGGCGCAGCTCGCGGACGTGCGCGCGCAGCGCGGGGCGCGGGGCGAGGACGGCGTGGAGGCGGCGGTAGTACTCGCGCCCGGGGAGGCAGCGATCGCCGAGATCGATGGTGTGGAAGAGGTGCTTCTGGCAGCGAGCGACGTGGTGGCGGGAGGTGAGGGCGAGCGTGCGCAGGGTGTCGCGGTCGTTGGCGGCGGCGGCTTGGTCGATGATGAGCTCTACGAGCTCGAGGGGGATGTCGAGGGTCGATTCAGCGCGAGAGGTGGCCATTTGTTGAGGGTGCGGGGTCTCTGTGGGCAGATGGTTATAAGGGAATTGGGAGGATACATGCGACATACATACCAGTAAAAACATGTGCGATGCTGGATGTTAGGAGGTAAGTGGGCTGCACTGTCTCGACCTCGCGGTTACCGACCCATGGACAAAGAAAAAACGAGGAAAGCGGATGCCCTAACGCCCAGTAAACTTACGTAAGGCCCTGGGCGGCACGCGGTCCCGTGGTAAGCCAAGAATTATCCTCGAACTAAAATATATATCCAACTCACTTTTCAGCGTGCAGCGGGGCATGTAAGTAGTCGCAGCGCCGGTGCTCCAGCTCAAATAAGCGCCCGCGTCACACCCACGTTGCGTGTACCCCGGCATTTGACTCTGCCACAGCCATGGGCCCATGTGACTACCGTGGCCCTCTAATATCTCCGCATCTTGAGCTGCACACCGCGGACGGAACAATTTATTTGTATGCTCTACGTCCTCTGAAGAGCTCGAGTTTGCTCTGGGAATAACTAGATATTCCCAGACCAACGGGCACATCTGGATCGTTGTCATTTATACCAGCACTTTTGCTGGCTGGCACGATAATTACAGTGTGGAAGTCAAGTGTTGGTCAAGTGGAGGTTTTAGTTTTCCAATAGGTTTCGGTGTAGTTTCGGTGTCTTCTCAATGTTTGTACTTTCTCTACTATGAATGGTTATTTCTTATGAGCTCATGACTGGCTCTTATTCCTTCTTGATTTCTGGTATTTCGGGTCCTTTTGATTTAAGAAGGAGTGAAATACTTTTGGCACATCTGAACAGAACATCATGACCACCTACTCGCAGCAGCCGTCTGGAGCATATCCGACTGTTACAACTATTGTACTTTGAATTCTGCATCCGGTATGGTGTAACGGCTAACATTACCGCCTTTCATCTTCGTATTTGTTGAGTGTGCGCGGTAGCTCGGGGTTCGATTCCCCGTACCGGAATCGTGAACGGCAGCCATTTGAATTTTGTTTTTTATTGCTAAATTTTGCCAGGGCCCAGATCTAGAAGTGCTCAATAGTTTTTTATAACACTTCGGGCTTTGCAACATATAGATGGCATCTATATGTTAATCCTATAGTTTTATCCGTAGATAATGTATAGATCTCGCTGTAAAAGTGACTTGCAGATTAGCTGTAAAATCGTCTCATAGAAATTTCTATAGAAATTCTACGGAATAACCTGTAAATGTCATCTGTAGGCATATTCACATATTTTCTACAGCGGCCATCTATAGGTTGATCTATACATAATGTATGGAATTACCTGCAGGACACACGTGTAGATAATCTGCAGGTGTGATCTGTAGAAGGTCCGATATGTTATCTGCCGAATTACCTATAGGAATACCTATAGGTGCCATTTATATGTACATATAGGTGGGAAAATGTGCTCAGATGTGCATATAGATGCCGTCTACAGGCATTCCCATAGGCAATTCCATAGATAAGATATCGGACAATCTATAGAACACACCTGCAGATTATCTACAGGCGCATCCTGCAGGTAATTCCATACGCTATCTATAGATCAACCTATAGATGGCCGTTGTAGAGAATATATGAATATGCCTACAGACGGCATTTACAGGTTATTCCGTGGAATTGATATGGAAATTTCTATAAAATATTCTATAGGCAATCTACAAGTCAATTTTATAGCAAAATTCATATGTTATCTACAGATAAACCTATGGGACCAACATATAGATGACACCTATATGTTACCACCCCGAAGTGTAATAAAACTTTTAATGCATCTATAATTCAGTTAAACAAGGAATTCAAGCTCAAGCGCGGCAGAATCGACGAGGCGATCCTCGTACCTTATCTTATCTCACCGCCACCAACGATGCCGATCAATCGATCGTCCCTGATTTTCTGGGCTTGTCCTCTACCCCATGTCCCATTCCTCTTTCTCCTTCTCCCTCTCGTCCCCGAGCCGTTATGGACCGCGTCTCGGAAACATCGTCCTAAAGCGCCCGGGCGCCGCCAATGGCAGCAGCGCTGAATCGACGTTCGAGATCGCCACGCCTGGCCTGCTGGCGACGACCTCGCGCGGGGCCGTGCCGCATCTCTCGCGCGACCATGTCCGCGCCGCGGATGCGATTCGCTGGGTGAATGTGCCGTTCGAGACGTTGTAAGTTCTCCTCCTCCTACCCACCGTCCGTTACGCGTTCTCGCTCCCATTCTGCACCGTGCTCACGCTTGCTTCACACCCACCCCAACCCACTTCTTTCCTATACCTCTCTCGCCGCAGCTTGGAACACAACCCCCGGTACCCACCCTCCAAGCGCAGCAGCCCGGCCAGGCGGGGAACCAGCATCCGCTGCACACCTTCCTTGGCTTCGTGCCCGACAAACACATCGTCTCTATGTCCCTGCGCGACCCACATGACGCGCGCGAGATGCCCCCGAATGGGAACGCCCACGTCTGCGCGTACAGCCTGCGCGGCGTGCGGAAGGTGCGTCTCATCCACATCCCGTCCTCCAGCCCAGAACTGAGTACTGACGCGGTACGCTGTATCTGTCTGCTACTTAGGTCTCGCCAGCGAATTGGCGCGCATACACGGAGGCGTGCCAGCCCGACGTCGTGTTCGCGCTGTCGGACACGCCGTACACGGACCCGCCGTACTCGCAGAAGCGGCTCACGAAGAGCATCGAGCGCTCCGCGGCGTGGGTCGCGAGCCTGCTCCGCCCGTCGGCACCCGGCGCCAGCATACACCCAAAGAGTCAGACGCCTGGATCCGAGGCCCCGAACCCGCCCGCCGGTGATGATACCACTACCGGTACCACCGCCAGCGCACAGAATGCGCGCGTGCCGCCGATCTTCGTGCACCTCGCGGGCCTGACGTCCGCGGGCGCGCGGAAGGCGTTCGCGGACAGCCTCCTCGAGCCTCTGTTCGGCGCAGAGGCGGAGGCGATAAAGCCGTATGGAACATTGGATCAGGGCATCGCGGGGTACGTCGTCGACCTCGTGCCGCTGCGCGCGTCCGTAAAGGCTGCTGCACAGCGCACGCGCCTTATCCCAATAACAACAACAACAACGACAACAGCAACAACAACAACAGCAACGGCGACCGCGACGACGACCGCGACCGCCCACCCAGACCCACCCGAAACCGACCCCACATACGCATCGCACATCATCCCCCTCCTCCGCACCTCCCTCGCCTCCCTGCCCCCGACGAAACCGCGCCTGCTCACGGGCGCGGCGTCGCCGCACGAGATCCTGCGGTACGTCGCGGACGCGGGCGCGGACCTGTTCGACGCGGGGTTCGCGCAGCAAGCGGCGGATGTGGGGGTGGCGCTGGATTTTGTGTTTCCTGTGCGGGAGGGGGCGGGGGATGGGAAGAGGGAGATCGGGTGTAATCTGTACGACGTGCGGTACCGACTGGACTTCGGGCCGCTCGCGGATGCGTTCCGCGGCGCCTTCTCCCCTCCATCACCCATCGACGGTGTGGACGAGGAGGAGAAGCCGATCTGTCCCTGCGCCGCGTGCTCCCCCGTCTCGCCTCCAACCCAGATCCACCACGGGTGCGATTCCGCGCCCTTCGTATCCGGCGATTCCGAAGTGGACTTGCAGGACGCGCAGGACGGCAAGCCAAGGTACCGCCCGCACTACACGCGCGCGTACCTGCACCACCTGCTGCACACGCACGAGATGTCCGCGCACGCGCTGCTCGCGCTGCATAACCTCGCCGTGCTCGACGCGTTCTTCGCCGGCATCCGCGGGGTCATCTCCATCTCCAAAGCTGCGGCGGACGGGCGGTGGGACGAGGAGGTGCGCCGGTTTGGGGAGGTGTATGATGTGCGGTTGGGGGTGCTGGAGGCGGCGAGAGAAAGGTGGCGCGAGGTGGATCTGGCGCGTGGGAAGGGGAGGCTGGCGAGGGAGAAGGAGAAGCAGGCGCCGCCGGCAATGCCGGCGGAGGAGTGAGTGGATTGGATGGGGTGGGCGACTGGATGATTGGGGTTATTGTGCACTGGGCGGAGGGATAATGAGGATCGGGTATTAGGGTCGGCTATCGTAGTTAGTTTTCTCCACTAATGGGCAAGGATGAGATCCATGGATTTTCGGCAATCTATTAAAAAATAAATTGGCCGGACAACAGCATCCTTACGTCGCACATATTCTTCATTTCTTCGAATCGAGGCAATAGCAGCTGTCCGAAATCGTGGCGTGGCGCTTGCTGTGCCAGCTCATATGCACTCGCAGGATGCGCCATACACATGTATAGTTATCTAATAGTAAGTATTAATGATCCTGAGTGGAAGAGATCGTTCGTCTGGGGCTATGCTACTATTTAGATAGTCTGATTTGCAGTATGTACACGTTCTTCTAAACGGGGCATCGGCAGGAATTTCAATTTTGAAGTTCATTATCTGAGTGCTATTGAAAAGAGTGCGTTTTGAATTTGAATTCATCTACTGTCCGACAGTCTCATTGTTCTCGTGCCCGATTGACTAAAAAAAGTCAAAGAAGACCCATATCCAAACACGAGGTTACTCGGCAGTCTCTGTCCACCACCGCTTTAGGCGCACTGCGAACAGCAGCTGTCAATGCGGCTTCCCAATGTCTGATTGGTGCGTTGTTAATGTTGGCCCTGTACTTGAAATCGAGCCATAACAGGACAGAATACGCACTCTCGCACAAATTTGGAGTCATTGACACTGAAAAACACCGCAAATATCAAAAGAAAGTGCGCTATCATTGCTGACGGGCAACATGAGGCTTTCTTCAATATAAGGCCCATTTCTTCGTCCAGGTAAAGCATCTCCTTGTCCCTTTCGAATTGAATCGACCAAAGTACCCTAATCATGTCCCCATCAACATTTGACGACCTTGTCGAAAGCGGATGTGATGCCCTACGCTGCCTTTCCCTTGAGCACGGTGAGAGCATGATGGACGAGTCCGCTGATACATCTCTGTGTAAGTACCTGTTTTTCTTCTGGGAGGAGTGGCTTCTAATGGTTGCACTACGTATCTAGCCGTCGTCGCATTTTCTGAACGCGAGCCAGCCTTTCGGGTAACTCGTTAGTGTTTTCTTACTCTCTGCTTTGCATATTAACAGAATGTATATAATTGCCAACACAGCGAACGATTCTGAGGCTGCAGCGACCACTGTCGCATTCCGTGGGTATCCCTATCCTTTGCATCAAGTGGTGAGTAGCAAATTCAAATGAGCAACAAACAAAGCTCATGGTTGCTTATCGCCAGCGAGCTTTGTGGACATTGGATACCCAGGGACAGGTACGCTGGATGCCGTATGGATCATGCACATCGTTGACCATTTTTTTCCAATCAGGCAGGCAAGGATCGGCGGCGAATCACTTCGCACCGCTGTCCAATCGCACCCAAGAAAATTGGAAAGCAGAAGCCGAATTCGCTCCGCTGGCTACTGGTAAATTACACCATATATGGGCGAGATGCTTTGACTACATTCGCCGATGTAGAAACGTTGTCCACGTCCCGTTTTCGTTCACCTACACCAATACGAGGCGCACACAGCCCAGGTTCGCGCAATGTACTCTGAGCAAATTCGTCCACGGTTCATGATGTGACGCCCACCTATTCCCGAACACCATAAGTAAGCAAGATCATGCAATGGGAGAATGATATCGTACTGATTCGCAATTAGTCATTGACCCTGATGATGCAAGAGTCAATGTGGCCCCTGACAGGGCCCACAATGCTAACTTCCTCTTGGAGAGGGGGTTAGAAGCAGAAAAAATAACGTTGGACCAGGCCATCCGAGCATGCAAACGGCCGCACTCCGATGATGACATCGTTGAAAACGAATATTCTCAGTCGACCCGAGTCCAAGGTAAATTTTAGCAGATAACCCCCTGGCAATAGACGCATCTGACTGTTGAACACAGGGCAAAGAGGGCGAGAATGGAACTGCCGCCCGTACGGACGACATGGCAGCACAGGATGAAGAGATC